AAGCAATTTTACTTGCGTCATCTTTGACTTAATGGCAGCGAATTTGACGTAATATTTTTACAAGTTTGGGAACATTCAGTCAAACAACATTAGTAAGCTATAATAACATATATTGGAGATTTATTGGCGAAGTTCAATATTATTTATCATCATGCAAAATATTATAAAGACATGGTTCAAAAATATTAATAAAAAAGTGTGAATGCGAATTCATTGTTTGAAACAATGCGATCGATCTAAAGACCTCTTATTGGTGCGTGATAGTGTTAGTTTCCAAAACTATAACATAAGTCCTGACTTTTGATTTAGTTTTGACGACCAACGCTAATGCGTAGTTTTTAAAAATGAAATGTTTAATTTGTTAAGGCATCTCCAAAAATGGAAATCACATGATATGGTTTTATTCAGTATTTTTAATTTCTAAACTCCCTATTGAATAAGGGTTTGGGATAACTAACTGACACTAATTATTGGTAAAGTAATAGTTAAAATCTGAAAAGTTTTATTTATTTATTATTTCAGAAAAAGTTTTTTACAAAGTCAATAAATAAATAAATATGGATAAGTATATGATAAGGTAGATTTAAATTTAAAATAAAAATAAAATAAAATAAGATAGAATAGAATAGAATAGAATAATAATAAGAAAACAACGCAAATATCTTAATGTTTAAAAGTGGTAATTAAATTGAATGAGTGAGTTTAAAAGGATAATAAATCTAATTTCTACATATAGTTATATCTATTTTGCAAAAATTTCAAATTATAAAGCTATAGAGAAATTAAACAAATTTACCCTGATTATTTGAACGTAGACAAATCTCTTATCAAAAAACTTTCCCTCGTTCAATTTGTAAAAAATTAAAGAGAGAAAATTCACTGATAAGACATTTGTCTATATTTAAATAATCAGCCTAAATTTAACTATCCCGACCATTAAAGGTCGCTAATACGATGGTGATAATGATGATGATGATGATGATGATGATGATGATGATGATGATGATGATGATGATGATGGTGATGATGATGACGATATTTGCGATGACGATGATGATGACGATATTTGCGATGACGATGATGATGGTTGCCGTTGTTGTTGTTGAACACTATTACCATTTGATGTGATAATGTCGCCGTTTAATAATATTATTGGAACTGTTTTTGGTGCAATAGTGGAAATGTTGTCTTGATGTTTACTTCTAGGATGTAATTCTGATGGTATCATTAATCTGATTTGGTTCGAATTCCACGCTTGATTGTCAAAGAAAATCAAATTTAATATTAAAATCTAAAATAAAGATTGCTAATTGATTAATTAATATTAATAATAATAATTACCAGTCATTGGTTTTAATAAGCATGATGGTATCGTTAATCTGATTTGGTTCGAATCCCACGCTTGATTGTCAAAGAAAATCAAATTTAATATTAAAATCTAAAATAAAGATTGCTAATTGATTAATTAATATTAATAATAATAATTACCAGTCATTGGTTTTAATAAGCACGATGATTTATAATTATTATTAATTTTATTATTAAGAAAGGTTGTCATTTTGTCATTTTTTTCGAATTCTTTTTTAAATATTTTCATGCTTTCAACTTCTTCCTTCGTAAAATCCCCATTTATGTTTAAAATACTTGATTCGTCGAAACAACATTTATAAAGATAGAGTTTCTCTCGTATTTCTTTTATTGTTGGCCTTTTGGAAGCGTCACCGTCCATGCATTTAGATGCCATTTCTATTATAAATTTTGGCGTATTATTAGCAAATACTGGTCTTTTATTATTGAAACAAATGCGCAAAGCAAGCTCATAATCATGATTCTCGTTTGGAAATGGTCGTTGGCCACTAGAAATTTCTGACATTATAACCCCCAAACTGTAAGTGTCACAATTTTCAGAATAGTAACCTGTCATGAATACTTCAGGTGCTGTGTAGGGAATTATACAATTGAGATTTTCTCGTGATTGTTGGTCATTGTATGCGCTTGATGAGCCAAAGTCGGATATTTTTGCAGTTTGGTTGTCGCTTATTAACACATTTCCACTATGTAGATCGCCGTGAATATATTTTTGATTATATATTTGTTCAAGAGCTTCAACGATGTCGCATATAATGGAAATTTTTTGTTTCCAAATGAGTTTATGGTAATTATTTTTCAAAAATTTTTGCAAACTTCCGTTTTGTGCATATTCCATTACGAGTGTAAATTCATTTTTAATTATTGCTACACCGTAAATTGTTATAATTTTGCCGCTATTCGAAAGCTTAGTATGATTCTCTAACTAAATAGTAAAAATGAAGAAAATGATCAATTAATTATCATAATTAGTTTCTAAAAAATTATAAAATGAATGAGATTCTGAGAACTTACTTCTTTGAGAAACATTTCTATTTTCATGTCATTGTTTTCCTTGTTAATTTGTTTTAAAATAACCGCAGTATTTGCTTCGCGATATTTTATATTATCCTTTATGCAACGCCTTCCTGGCCCCCACACTCCTTCATATATCGAACCATTGCCACCCTTACACAAAAAATTAGTGATTTTTACATCACGTTCCTCTATTAATTCTAAATGTTTTCCATCATATGATGATGATTGAGATTGTGATAACGAAATCACATTGTCGATTTCTTTATTGCCACTGGTCTTTTTCGAATTTAATGAGATAGGATCACATGCGTCATTTGTATTATGTTTCTTGCTTGTTGGGCATGGTACGTATTTTTTATTTCGTCTTAATGAATCTATTTCCGATTCATTACTCTTTTCAATTTGCATTATTTGTTATTATTTAATTGTTTTTTATAATATTATAACACATTAGACCAGTGGCAAGAATGATTTTTTTATTTTGAGGAAGAATATTGAAGAAAGGACTAATTAATTCGTTAAGCGACAAAATTAACCAGAATTTATTTTATTATTATTAGAACAAAATTATTTGAATTTACAAGAAGCTTTTATGCTGTTTCATAATTACGGAAAATCTTTTTTTTTTTTTTTAAGATAAGATTTGATTACTAATATGTATTGTATGATGACATTGCATTCATAATTTGTATGATCTATACTTTAAAAAAATTAAAGTTTGTTAAACACTTGATAAACAATGGGCTTAAAAAAAGCTAAAAAACTACGCTCAACAAAAAGATCGTTGCACTAAAAACAATAGTCTAGTGTGTTATTGTTGAAAAGACGTCAGATATGGAAATGATTCTCAATGGATCGTGTCAATGCAGTCATTCTGATTTTTTAAATTCCGTAGTACATCAATAATCACCTTACATTTCTTTCACAAATAATAAAGCAACAGCAAGATACAAAATCGCTTAAAGGGAAACTTTGAGATAAAATTTTCAAATCTTTTGTCAATCTTTTTACTCAAATAAGTTCTTTCAGCTCATGACGACGAGCAATTGCAAAGTACTCACTCAATTCTGTATTGTTACTCGCATCAATTTTTTGCAAAGGGAATATCCAATTTTGGACATTTTGTTAGGTTCAGAGATTTTATTTTAGCATAATTAATTGCAAAACTCGGCTGAAATTAGGATTTATACTTAATCATATAATTTAAGGCAATCACTCAAGTCAATATCATTATCCAAAATATTCAAAATTTCTAAAATGTTCTTTAAGATTTTTCTGAATGCCATTTATTATTCTCTTTCCAGAGTATAATATATATTATTCCCTCATTCATTAATCATTTCACCTCTTTGCATTGATTGCTTCCGTTCTATTGATTGGCCATTGCCGCTTCGAGCTTACGTCCAAACTTGTTTAGTAACATTTTACTTTCTTTCTTTGGGTCTTTGATTTGCTGTTTGCCATATATTTAACCCTTATTTGGAAATAATAAAGGTGTTAAAGCTTGGGATTTGTTAACCTCAGTTTGGGTTAGGCAAAATGAGAGAACCTTGCAAAGTAGCGTGTTACAATCGAGTTTAACTTCTGACATTTACTAGCATCTAAGTTAATCAACAAAATTTATTACAAACATGGAATGAGAGAAAGTTCACGTTATTATTGCTTGGTCAAGAAAATTAATTATTAGGATTGAGAAAGTTGAGTAATTTGTTTTCACTAAATCGGTTTTTTCTAAACTTAAATTTATTACTAATTAAAACAAAAATATTTGTTGTTTGATCCTCCTCGGAATAATATAATCACTTCAAATTTTGTAAGTATAAAAAAATTCCAAGCAATAGAACCTTTTCAATTAAAATTTTTATTTTCTTTTTTTGGTTATATTTAAAAAAACACTCTTTCCTTACACAGATAAATATAAGATTATCTCCTATTATCGAATTACGCCACTATTAGAATAATTCTAAGCAATAGTGAGGTGAAACATTGCTCCTTGTGTTATTAATTTAATATCACTATTCAATAATACTTAAGAAAGGATTACTTGTAAAATATATCAAGGAATAACAGGGATAACAAATTTGGATTTGCAGTCCATCTTTATATCGAACTCTGACAAAAAGATAAATATTATTGTAAAGGTTTTCTTGACGTTTGAAATTTGTAAAACTATGAAAATTTTCTATTAAAAATCAAAATATTTTTATTGTAGAGTGAACTACAGTATAATGGTAATCATCATCATCGATTTTCAAATCTAATTCTTTCAATCTCTTCATCCGATCATTTCATCTTCGTTTTGTTCTTTGATAAATAAAGTTTTTGGTAGATTAGGTCTGACGTTTAATGCATTCATTCAACTGTTTAACATTCTACCATATTTGAAAATTATTGAAATCTACCTGGATGACATATATGAACTCTTTTTTTGATTTTTTTGGTTTCCCTTCTCATACTACTTCACTATTTCAGGCATATGATATGAGTGGGACGGGTTTAAAAATACTAATTATAATTATAAGAAGAGGGAGAGTTTTATAATTGCATAAACACTATAATTGTGATATTATAAACAAATGGTTATTCAAGCTTCATCCATAAACTCGTCATTAATATCTCCAATAAGTAATCATGAAAAATACCCAACAGTCTGATCACCGTATCATTTTAAAAATAAGGATGGATTTGTATTTGTGCTTGAATAATTGATTTCTACAAGATTATTTAGCGATGTTGGTAATTCATATTCATACCAACGATCATTTAGATCGGTTTCTAAACCGTCTAAAATTTTTCTAGCAATTTTGACAGCCTCTTGGTACATTACGTCGTTCTCTAAATCTACAAATTTATATACTTGCTGCTGTTGTTGATGATGATGTGGTGATCGTGGTAGTGGTCGTGATGGCGAATGCTGCTGGTGTTGTGATGATGGTGGTGGTGAAAGTGGCGATTTCTGCTGTTGTTGTTGAGCCTATTATAAATCAAGAAAATATGAGAGATTGCAATATCTTTATTTGAATATTTTAAATATAGATAGATAGTAATAAAATGCATACCGCCAAATCCTTTTCGTACTGTTCCAATGCTGTATCCCTCATTTGGAGGTAGGGCTAACCCAATAAATAAAGCATAACATAGTGAATGAATTATTTAACAAATTGTTGTATTAATATATATTATCTATGTAAAATTACCTTTTTATCTTCCTCGGACATATTTCTCCACACTTCTCCCAGTAGTGAATTAATTTCAGTACTTTTTATACCCGGTTTTTTAGCACTAATCTCCATTCTATATTTAGAAATTAATAATTAGCCATCATCAATACATCATCGTCAATATACAGCAAATAAATAAGTAAATAAATACCTTTTGGTCATTGTGAAAAATATGAAAGGGTTTGGTGGCTTCTTTAAACTAAAATTAGGAACTTTTTTAGCCTTTTTTCCACCCTTGTCATCTCTAACGCTAGAATTTTTGCGTTTTTTAACATTAGTGACAGGTGGAGAAGTTATGGTGGTAGATGATGGTGTACTAACAGGAGTTGTTGTTGTTGAAGAGGCGGGTGATGATGATACTGCGGTATAAATTTGGGAAGGAATTATTTTTTGTTGTTGTTGCAATTGATTGCCGGTTAAAAATGTTGCACCATTCGGTGTGGCAGTAGAAATGGGAGAAGTGGAAGTAGCTGCATTATTGAAGGAACTCGTATTGACATCAATAATGAGCATTTAAAAAAGTTCTAATAATAACAATAACAGTAATGAATAACTTCAATTATATAAGTAAAACTTTTTTATGAAAAAAAAAAAGAAAAATAAGAGAAAAGTAGCAAATGTTATATAATCAAAGTAATGGATATATTAATATAGTGGGAAAAAGTAGTTTATCTGAAATTTTTAATAATGTGTAACTTTTCATTATTGCATTACTCAAAAAATTGCAGTTTAAATAGTTTAAATAAACTGGCTTTTCGCTGCGCATTGTTTCCATTGGTCAAAAAAGCGACCTATTCTAAAAAATGATGGGGTTAATGAACCATCTCGCCAGTTCATCTAGCGAAGGTTTCCTCCATTCGAATCCAAGTATAAGCATTTTATGATTGATTAATTCATTAAAAAACTTTATTTATTATTCTTGTAAATCGAACAATAAAAAAATTAATTAATAATTCATAAATTCGTGATTTATATTAAAAGAATTTTCTAAAGAATCAAAAAACAACCACAACAACTTTACTAGTAATCAATAAACTTATCAAGTTCCATATTCTAACTGCTCATTACATTTGAACACACTAAACTTGCCCAAAACTCATCACGCTTCTTGATTTGACAAACACTCTGCAGTCACGGATACAATTCCTTTACTGGCCCTATAAAAATGAAGAATTACAAAAAATGCATTTTTCTATATGTAATTTCCATATGTAATAAAATCACATCTGGTAAATTGGAAAAATGTAATTTTCCTTACATTTTGTAATTTTTTCCTTACATTCATTTTTTTATAGGGTGACCCTGATGCATGACCTCTACCCCATCACCATATGAAATGATTGTCCTTCTTGAGCCACACCTACTTTCATAATCAATAAATGTTTTGTAATACAAATACTGATGAATTGCAATTATTTTCGAAGATTAAATTTTGTGGATGGGTTAATTCGTATTAAAAACTTGGAACAAAACAATGATGGAGAAGAGCATCTCACATAATAGTATTTTCAACTATAAGTGGTATAATATTAGTTGTAATAAATACCATTTATAATTGTTATATTATATATAGGAAAAGTTATATTTCCAAGTGTTATGGTGAAGAATTATAATATTGTATTTATAATATTTTTTTTTCGGAAAAAAATTATCATCATTTATATAGTTTATTTCTATATATTTGTGCCTACTATTTTTTTGTAAAGGTTGCTACTCTTGACATTCCATTTGGGTATATTTCTGATTACTTATTCATAAAGAGTGTTACAATTGAGAAGGCATTATATTGATTTTAAAGTATTGGAAACTATGAAGCTCTAACAGTATCAAATAACCTGTGATTTGCAAGCAAATTTACACCCACGACCATAAATTTTTTAGCCAATTAGGTGAAATACAATGAAAAGCTTTCATTTCTATTGGTGCAAGTTCAATGTCGTCAATGGCATTCGTTTTTTATTCATTCGGTATATAATTACCTTATTCTTATTCCAGTGTATTCCTGCAAGAGAGATATCAGTCAGCAAAAAAAAAAATATATTCAATTAATGAATCGAATAAAAGAGATTCAAAGAACCACTTGTTCTAAGTAAATAAAGGTAAAATTTTTCTAATTATTATAAGATTATTGTAAAAGTGATAACAATCAAGATAAATTTTAATATTTCACCGAATATATGGATAATTTTGATTTTCAGAACTTTTGACACGTTTTTGACAAAGGTGAAAATACATTCTGTTCAAGTATATGATTAGAAAGCTTTATTTTTAATTGAAAATCTTGTACAATAATAATAATAATAAGCTTATATATTTGACGGTAATACATTTTCGTCATGTAACATCTCGTCAGTTGACTAAATTTCGTCAGGTATCTTTATTCCATATTGATTTGCTAATACTCTACGGTTTTTTGGACGAAAATGATTGTTGTTGAGATACTTTTAATAAAGAAAATTTTTAATTATATAAATTTCGGTTATATAGTAGTGACGTTAGCCGATAGAAAAACCTTAGCGGCTAAGAACTTAAATAAATCCCAATTGATAAAAAAACTTTTCAGATGGTACTAAGCTTGCCAGTATTATTATTACTACTATTATCGTTATTGTTACTATAATTATTATTACTATTACTTACTATTGTTATTATAATATCCCGCCTTTAATGGTTCGAATAAGGTTTATTTGAATTATTTGTTTCATTCGTTATGAATTTGAGTATCCGAATTACAATGAAAGTTTATTCGAATAGAACGAATAAACGAATAGAACGAATAATTTGAATAAAACGAATAATTCAAAAAAACGTGATTATATTTCCAAACATTCAATTAACAATAGCTTATCAGAGAGTTTTTTCATTTATATTAGTAAAAAAATTTTTTGTGGACAATTCGAATAGAACGAACAGTTTGGATAAAACGAATAAATAAAAACTATGATATATTGTTATTCTAAGTAATGCATGTGGGCACATATTTAATATCAATTAAATGTCTATCCCCACCGAGTTTTGCATTAAAATTCCAGACATAAAAAAAATTTTTTTTTAACCGGCTAAGCCATTTAAAAATTCCTTAGCCAGCTAAGCCGATAGATTTCTTAACCCGGCTAACATCACTATTATATAGAATTGTTTAAAAGAGACTTGTTCTTTTGTTCATTAAATTGTTTGGTCTAGAAATTTGGATAATTTTTTGATTAAAAAATCCGTTTGTTTGTTGATTATGAAAAAAAAAAAAATATAATAAATTTGTTATTGTGGCGAAATTTTTGAACATGCAGCAACAGCAGCAAACTAACCCTTTTTAGACCATAAAAGACAGAATTCAAATTTAAAAATAAAATTTCTCGATAAAATAATAAAATTAACTGATAAAAAATAATAATGAATTTAACCTTCAAAAGTAACAAAATTTATTTAATAATTTTGTTATTTATTAATACTAGTGTGTTTTCAATTCCTAATGCAGGACGTTATGCAACTACTAGTGTAGTGACCGATAATAAACTTTACATTGTTGGAGGTATAAATATAGAACAAACATTAGTAACTGTAACGAATTCATTATTTTATGTGGATTTAACTAAGGAGTTTGATGTTAACAATGTGCCATGGGTAGATGACAAAGACATTCCTGTAGGAACTGCTTTCACTGCAGGTGCAGTTGGTGGACCAAATAATTCAACAATTTTTATATTTGGTGGAATGATGGTAAATCCAATTTCTCAAAAACAGAATTTCCTTAGTTTGTTTTATACATATGATTTAACTACAAAAACTTGGAGTACTCCAAACACACTCGGTACTACTCCCGCCAATCGTAGAGGAAGTAGCGTTATAATAGATGATGAAGGAGGTTTCTGTATTTTTGGTGGAATAGCTGATTATTATACTGGAACTACTTCTGTTCAATATTTTAATGATATGCACACTTTTCATACAATTGACTCGACTTGGCATCAAGTCATGGCTAATAATCCACCATTACCAACTTATGATCATACTTCAACTTTATTAACTGATGGTAGAATGGTAATTATTGGTGGAATAGAAACAAGTGATATTATAGGTACAAGTATTTATGAAGCTGACATCTATAAAGTATGCATTTATTTTTATGTACATAGATAGAAAATATTCATTATATAAGCTGTTTAAAAAACAATTAATAATATATGGATATATGTTTATTTTATAGATAAAAATTTTTGATACAAATAATTCAACTTGGTCAAATATGGTAAATATTTAAATCAATTAAATTTTTTTTTATGGGTAAAACAGAATGGCTTGATTAATTTTTTTCTTACACCTGGGTGAAAATTTAGACAGCAGATGGTCCACCATCTATCCAACCTCGAGCTGGTCATTCAGCTGTACTTTGTAATCATTTTTAATTTAGATTTTTTTGGAATTTTTTTTTTTAAGAAAAATATACTAAAATTATATATATATATATATACATTATATAGCAAAGGATGGAGAAATAATTGTTTATGGTGGTATTAGATATCCTTTATCAATTACATCATTTCCTGAACTTCTGATACTGAATACAACCACAAATCCTTTTCAATGGTCTGCACCCAAATTTTCACATGTTAGTCGTGCCACGCCTGTAGCATTCCATTCAGCCAATTTGATTGAAGATCAAATGATAATAAGTTTTGGTAGACTTTTATTATTTTAAAAAAATTTTTTTATCTAAAATTAGTTGACAATTAATTAATCAAAAAATATAAAATACGTGCATATATAGGGAATATTACAAATGACATTTCAGGACCACAATCATCTAGTGCAAAAACTTATATACTTGATATTAAAGATTACACTTGGAAACCAAATTATTCAATATCTGCAAATACAACATCATCAACATCATCAACATCATCAACATCATCATCAACATCACAACCAGAAACATCAACGTCATCAACATCATTAAACACTGTTCAAATAGTAATAATAGTAATTGCACTCGTTGTTGGAATATTAGTTGCGATAACAGCAGCATTCATAATTGTAAGATATCGAAAGAAAAAGAATACAATTATAGAAATGCCTAGTGAACAACAAATTCAACAACACAGATATACACCATCTTATAACACTGTCGATAACAACGCTGGTGATAATGAACTACGCTATTAAATATGTATTATTGTTCGTCAGTTGGTATAGAATATTTAATAAATATCATAATTTCAAAAAATTATAAGTTTATCAACTCAGCCTTGATGAGACTGTAATCTGAAATTATAATAAACTAGCAATTGCATTTCCCAAGGGCGACTAATGCCGCCCTTTATAGCTTTCTATTACTATATTAATTAATATAGAAAAATTTTTGGAGTCTAAAATTTTGGGGTGGATGTTTGAATATATACAACATTCTGATTGGCTAATTTGAATTTCGCGCGAATTTTACACATTAAAATGGCTCGAGTTTTAGAGTTTTTGTGGTCATTCTATGAGTGGAGAAATTAATCAAAGAATTTATATGT